GGCATAGTGGTTAAAGTATTTGGATGAGAGAGTTGGAACCCACCAACAGCTGTGAAGAAGAAAGATGAAGATTTACAGCCTTGGAAACCCTATGAGGCAGTTCTACTCTGCCCTAAAAGGTCACTGTGTGTCAGAATCAACTGGATGGTGGGAGCTCTGGTAGCTAGTACCTAAAGCATTTGACTGCTAACCAGCCACTCCTCGGAAGGAAGGTTGGGCAATCCACTTCCGTAGTGATACCGCCTCGGAAACACAAATAGGGGTCTCTATGAGTCGGATCTGACTCCATGGCAGTGAGTTAAGATGATGCTTTAAATCGTGGTTTCATCTAATCCACTATAAACCACCTGTTCCTTCCATGTTGCTAATATTTTTGTAGTCCTGACTGTGTCATATTTTCTGGTGTTTTAACTACAGCGTTGTGGTAATTAGTATTTGTGAACTCATATCAACAACATTTTTGAGAAGTAGTAATTAAAGGAAAAGGAGAAAAAAAACTAAAGGCTTCAGCTCAGTTACTAAATGTCGTAACTAATAATATTATAATTCAATGTAGAAAGATTTTACAATTTTGCTAGTATTCATTTAAGCAATGTACAACTACATTTATCACATTATTCTATGATTAAAATCGATAAAGAACTTTACTAAAGCTTCTGTATAGTCTGGTACAGGCGGAGATACATGGGGGGTTGCCATTGTGAATATCACACTGGGTAACACCAACCCTAGTGATGCCACTGATATGAACAACCTTCCAGAAAAACTAATAAACTTTTATCTGCTAAGCTCTGATCTAAATTGAAAACTTTTTTTTTTTTTTTTTTTTTTTAAGAATGCTCTTGTTTGTCACCGTTCTCTCTTAGAGATGCCCTAAGAGTTGTTTATTCAGCAAGATGCCACCTTTCTCTTGAGTCTCTGATATTCATACTGGTTGAGGAAAAAACAAATGAATGAAAAAAAAATTTTTTTTTAGTCCAAGGGTGGATCCCAGCTTCAGGCATACCTGGATCCTAGCGGTAAAAGAACATAATCAAGAAACAAACGTGGAAAGTGTTGGGAGTGACTCTGTACTATTCTTGCAGTTTTTCTGAATGTTTGGAATTATTTCAAATTAAGTTTTGCTTTTTAAAAAGGAAATGATCTTCATCTCTTGCTTCTTCCATATTCTTGCTTTATCCTCTGCAATAATCAGGGTTTCCCCACACACACACACTAGTTTACCAATCCCAACAAAAAGTGACAGTATCTCCTCCAATGATTCTAGCAAATACCTCAGGGCAGTGGCTTATTGGCCCAGCTTGGGTCATGTGTTCGATCTCTGAACTAATCACAGTGGCTGCAGGGTGGAATGATCTGATTCACCTGACCTGGTCACATGCCCATTTTCAAAGCCAAGGGTTGGAGCCAAACCCACCCAAGTCAAGGATAGAGAGGGAGGGAAGGATGGGTCATCAAAGAAAAATCTGGGTGCTAATTACAAGAGGAGGAGCTCTGGTAGCATAGTGGCTAAAGCACTTGACTGCTAACCAGAAGGCTGGTGGTTCAAACCCACCAGCCACTCCTCGGAAGGAAGGTTGGGCAATCCTACTTCCCTAGTGATACTGCCTCAGAAACCCAAGGAGGGGTCGCTATGAGTCGGGGCCGACTCGACGGCACATAACAACAACAACAACAACAATTCCAAGAGGAGGGGCACAGATGCTGGGGAGACAAAAACAACATGTAGCTACTTTGTCATCCAAGCTCTTAATTCCGGAAGCTCTGCTCAAAGGGAGATAGCTTTGGGAATTGGGATGACGGGGAAGGAGCAGGCATGGCAGGGGTTCATGAAGACCAACCTGTTCTGCTTCTCCAGCAACCAGACATGTAATAAGGTCATTGGCTGTTCTTGCAACACAGGACTGACAAAGAACACAACCAGTTCTGCCACAGGAAGTCCATAAATATTCAATAGAGAGGCTCATGGGTTTCAAAAGATGATATAACTTTATCAGGATGAGATGGGTACTTGGGAAATTGGGCAATGAAACTTGTCTCTGTTCAGTCAAGCCAAGGGCTCCCGTCCACACTCATGCTGCTAGCATGTCTATAACTATATATTCTGATTGTGTGAAAGTGTTACATGCTTCTTACAAAACATCCATGAATACCGAATTGAACTCAATAGATAATGAAAACATGAGTCTCACCCTTTCTGGAGTGCTGTTAAGTTAGGTGCACACAATCCTAACACCACTAGTAACATTAGCTAAAACTCATGTAGTGCCTGCGCTATGGGCAGCCTTACTCTGTTACACGGGGTACTGTGAGTTGGAATCGATAACAGCTCTGTGCATGTCATCAGGAAAAACTGAACGCTTCGTGAGATGGGTTGACATCGTACCCACAACAATGAGGCTGAAGCTGAAGACGGTGCAGGATGGGATGATGTGTCCTTCCATTACACGTAATGTCACCGCGGTCGGGAGCCGACTTGATGACAACCAACAACAACCTGTGTTGTACACAGGTCTAAGCATTTTATAGGATAAACTCGTTTTGCTTTTTTTTTAAAAAAAATAAAAAAAAACTGTTGAGGTCGAGTCAATTCTGACTCCTAACGACCCTATAGGGTTTCCAACTCAATAATCTTTGTGGAAGCAGATTGTCACACCTTTCTCCTGCAGAGTGGCTGGTGGGTTCCAACACCAACCTATCAGTCAGCAGCTGAGTATTTAACCACTGCACCACCAGGAGTTGTTGTGGTTGTTAGATGGCACTGAGGCAGATCCAACTCAAGCAAATCTGTGTGCGACAGAGCAAAACACTGCCTGTCCTGCCATCCTGACAGTCCCTGCTAGGCTTGAGCCCGTCGCTGTAGCCGCTGTGTCACCCATCTCGCCACCAGGGGTAGAATGCCTACATGACGTAGGTGTTATTACCATTCCCATTTTACACATGAGGAAATGAGCCCTGTGAGGTGAAGCAGCTTGCCTAAAACCTCATCGCCAGAAAATGGGCGCACGAGCTTTAAACACAGGCAGCCTACCTCCAGAAGACATACTCTAATTTTTCAGAATGCATGCTACAGATATATTTACAAAAAACGAAATTGTGCAGCACAAACTATGATGTGTTTCTGTGTTTGTTTTCACTTAACAATATGTTATTTTACTTGTCTCGTTCCCCACTGGTAAACACTAAGTAGCTTTCAATTTTCTTTGCCTTTTTATTATGAAATATATGTGCAAGCTGCCCCCTGGGGAACTGAATGGAGGCGGAACAAGCCTGAGGTGAGGCGGGGGGGACCCAGCAGGAGAAGGCTGCAGTCCTCCAGGCCTCCAGACAACCCAAGTGGTAGCACTGTGGGTGGAGAGAGATTTAGAGCATATAATCAACAGACTGGGGAGTGGTTGGCATGGTGCCCTCTTAGGGAGATGGTGCCCGTCAGGGAACAGGACCACCAGGTGATATTTCCACCTGATGCAGAAACAGAGAGAGGATGAGAAACTCTGGTTTGTTTTAAGTTGGTACTTAATGGAGAACAGAAGCTCTCATAGCACAGTTGTTAAGCACTTGGCTGCTAACCGAAAGGTCAGCAGTTCAAACCTACCAGTGGCTCTGCTAGAGAAAACGTGGCAGTCTGCTTTTGTAAAGAT